AGTTTCTGCCTGAAGGGAAGATGTGTGGGTGAGTAACTCAGCTTATTGACCGACCGTGACACAATTAAAACATGTAGGCCTATTCTGTTTTAGGCCGCAGATTTCTAGAAGTGGCGCAGATTCTAGTTTCAAAGGGACGCTGAGGCCTAAAAAGTGTATAGCTGTTGTTTGTGTGAACAGTATAAACAACTTGTTGGACAGAACCATTCACATTAAAATATTATTTAGTGTAGTGTGAACGTGGCGGTCATGTAACCGTAGAGCAGAGGAGACTTTCCACCAGCCTCTCACTCACACAGCTTTGCGTGATTGGCTAACGTCACCCTTAACCACATAACCAAACGAAACCAGCCAATCAGAGGCAGAAACTGCTTCAGCACCTCCTGCAGAAAGGGATCCGATTTCATGGCCATCTGTCGACATGTTACTGGCTTTCTGTGGTTTTCCGCATGTCGACGATTGAGCTGCTTGTTGTTGACTCACAGTTCAAACCTGCAGCTTTGCCCCACTGATGGTTAGATTGTGTGTTGTTAGTGTTGGAGAGCTGTAGCTGATTTGTTGTCTTTGCTTTTTAAATAAGCTTATGTTTTGTAGCTTTTTTTTTTCTGGCATCCATCTCTTCCGGCTCCGTTTGTCCTGCTTGTCCTAAACTTTGTTTCAATTTTCAGTTGTAGCCAACATATTCTTCACGAGATGTAGGTCAGCGTTTCCACATTAAAAGACTCGGGTCGTTCCACCTCACTTTAAAAAAACCTGTCACTTAAAAAATTAGATTAACTTATTTAACACACTCAAAAGTGTTTCAAACATTATTCTACATTAACTTCATAAAGCAATGAAACGAAAACTCCATTCATGCCATAAAATGTGCTCAAATAATGTTTGAAAGACTGAATCTCAACATTTAGGCTACTGAAAACCTTTTGCGCCCACATCACAAAAGGTGTGCGGAAAATGACAGTGTCTGTAGTAGGCCTGAGAAAGCTATATTAACCTGAAATAGATAGATCATATTCAAATTTAGTATTTCAATACCCCTACCAAACTGCTCATAATATTCAGCCTCCCATAAGAAAAATAAAGAGCAAATAAAAAATATTAATTAATTAATCCTGCTGTACTGTAAAAACCTGTAGGCAACAATAGTCTAAGGCTTTTAATCAGTCTCTGTAGGATTATATCGCTATAGTGAAGAGTTTCTCCACATCACCGCTGCAAACAGAAAGCAGCCTATTGGCCTCTTCACACTTTAGAGCTCTAGTTCACTGAAAACTTTATTCTGTCAACATGAGATCAAAATAGATTCATTAGTTTATATATTTATATTAACTCCTCTTGTCTTTGGCCAAACTGCAGAATGCAAAATCCCTGAATTTTGACTCATGTCCTTCAGTGAACCCAAACGTGCTGTGAGATCAGCTGACTCAGCTGGTGACGTGCTGTGAGATCAGCTGACTCAGCTGGTGACCGCTACGTCACTGCAGCAGCACCAATCATTCACTAGTTTCGGCCTCAGTCACGCAGTCATAATATCCAGGATTCACGCAGCTAACACAGTAACCGCAGCAGCTTCACCTCCTCTCTCATGGAGAAGTTTGTGGTCCTGCTGGTCCTTCTGTCTCCAGCAGCTTCTGGTAAAGACGAGTTTGTAAAATGTCATCTTGTCCTAAAAGGTCTTCATGTGTTTATAAATCGTCGAGTTTCGAGGTTGGATGCTAACGTTAGCTTGTCTGCAGCTACAGTCATCGATTTAGCTTCAGTGTGGAGGAAAATGCCAAAGAAAAAAATGCGATCAATCATCTGATCGCCTTGATTACTCTACCGAGGCTTCCAGCTTTGAAAACGTCTTTATGATATTTACGGTTTTAGGCTGTTTTAATAACTTTAGCCTGGCTAGTTAGATTTAGCTGCTAAATGGCTAATTTAGCTTCTAAGTTTGGCCATCTTGCAGATCATCCCAAAGCTCTTTTGTTCTGAGGAGCTATGAAAGTCTTTTAATTGCACTCTGAAAAATCCTTCCAACAGCGAAGTTAAAACTGTCGCTACAGCTAAGTAAACTGAATGTCTGCGGGCGAGTCAATCCATGGCTGGAACTGCTGGAAGAGTGATGTGTGGCTCAACAGACTTCTCTCTTTGGTGTGAGCTGCTTGTTTTTGCCTGCATGTTCTGAGTCCTCCTGTTCAGTATTAAAACTTCTGTGTTTGTTTAATCTGAAGGTAAATTTCTTTCCTGCAACAAATAACCAATTTCAAACTAACTTCACCTCGGTGCAGTCCCCTCAAGATAATATTACTGTGGAGTGTGAAATTTGTGACACAACAATGTTTTTCTATCGTCAAACGATTAATATGTGGTCATATCGCACAGTACTGGTTCTCACTGTATCGTCCTGTGGAGTCCTTTTGAAATGTAATTACTTTTTCTCTCTGGATGTTTTTATTGTTTTTAGATGTGGTACGAGTGAAACCTGGAGATGATGTCACTCTGCCATGTCAGGCTGGTGAAGCCTCCATCATAGCTGTAGAGTGGAGCAGACCTGACCTGGAGCCAGACTACGTCCTCTTTTACAGAGATGGACGTTCAGTTAAAACCCACCAGCATCCATCCTTTAAGGACCGGGTGCAGCTGGTGGACAGAGAGCTGAAGGACGGAAACGTGTCTTTAATTCTGAAGAACGTGAACAGCAACGACGCTGGAACATACGAGTGTCGAGTTGCAACAGGAGGTTCAAGACGTCAGAGAGCCGACATTGATGCTGAGCCAATCAGAATCATCCAGCTGGAGGTTTCAGGTGAGTTTGTGGAGGTCTGTGTGCCATGTTGTAGCTGCAGTTTATTCCATGTTGATTCTGAGAGTCAAACATGAGGAATATAGAAGATATAGAAGAGTAAATGGAGGCTGTTCCACTGTTCACTCATTTCCTGACTAATATGCACTTTGATCTTCAGGGTCCAACAGCGGAGACGTCATGGAGGGAAACTACTGTCTTTACTACGGACTGGGAGCACTGATTTTGTTCGGGTTTGTTTAGCTGCTGCTGTTGGCTGGAAATGGAAAAGACATTAGAACAAGAAATCAGGACAGCCTGCTGCTGATGACGCAGTGAACGACCTCTGATCTCTTTCCACCACATGTTTCATACATTCAACATGATTTTCAGTCTTTCTGTGGGTGTGAATATGTAAATCTGGCCTTTGAGGCAAAGGGACCATGATGATCTGCTCATCAACGTGAAAAAATAATGTTGGAGGGTTTGCGTACGCGTTGATCCTGAGAGTTATCTTGTCTGCATATCGTTGCCACTTTATTGTTGTTGTGCCATAAACATAAAGTGCAAATACCTCTACTTTGTCTGTCAGTACAGTCGGCCGACTTAAGTTCCTGCCCACCACATCTGAACACTTCAGAGCTGCCTGTAAAACTAAACAGCTTGCCTCTGTAGCCGAAAGCTGTTGTTCTTCTTGTCGATGTACTGTAGCACAGGCACCAACTGACAGTGGGTGGAAATGTCAGTTGTTTCGTCTGCCTGAATATTTTTTACTTCCTCCAGAATGTAATCTTTGATAACTGACAGCATGCAGTCCAAAAGTTCGTTTTGCACAGTCTTTGAGGTGCCTTTAAAAAACTGTAGCTGTCGTAAGGTGCTTCTCACACACAGTCCAGCGATCAACAAGATCTTCTGAAAACGGCAGGGTTGTCAGAGGATGCAGTCTTATTGTGGCTCCACAAGGAAGAGTTATTCTGTGGCCTTTGACAATCAAACATGTCTGACAATAGATTAGAAGATCCATGGTTTGTGTTTCATATCAGGTTCATTTTTACATTTAATCTTTGATCTGTAATTTTTTCTTTTCTTTAAGAGGCTGATGGTGGGTCATAGAAAGGCTTGTGATGTCTGCAAATATTTATATATATTGGAGACAATGATGGTTAAATATTTTACTTTGAAAGCTGCTTCGGTTTTTCTCTGTTTGTAAAGGTCTATTCATACTCAGCAGGTTCTGGTATGAGTTGACTGTTTCCTGTAAGCCATTTATATTAAATTTTTCATATGTACAAAAAATTTGTTTTCTGTGACTTTCCGTTTCTACCTGAATGTTGAAATAAACTGTAGGTTACCTGAGCTGTTGATTCAGATGTCATTACTTCCAACACGGTATACAACACACCTGAGCTCCTTTCATGAGGTGGGTCAATATCACTCGCCTTTGGCGTCCTCAGAATCACTCAAATTGTAAAATCCCACGTGACGTAACTTCAGTGTAATAAGTGGTTCAATTAGACAAAATTAAAATGTTTTATATGTAATTATGATCTTTAGCAAGTTCGTTCATAAAACAAGTCATTTTGATAATTTGTTTAATTTTCACATTGTGTTTATAGTTGGAGGTTGTCAAGCTTAACATGTCCACCCTGTCATTGTGAAATATTAGAAATTCAACATTTGCTAAACAGTACAGATACAGTGGGTACGAAAGTATTCAGACCCCTTTAAATTTTTCACTCTTTGTTTCATTGCAGCCATTTTCCAAAAATCAAAAAAGTTCATTTTATTTCTCAGTAATGTACACTCAGCACCCCATCTTGACAGAAAAAAAACAAATGTAGAAATTTTTGCAAATTTATTAAAGAAAAACTGAAATATCACATGGTCATAAGTATTCAGACCCTTTGCCGTGACACTCATATTTAACTCAGGTGCTGTCTATTTCTTCTGATCATCCTTGAGATGGTTCTACACCTTCATTTGAGTCCAGCTGTGTTTGATTATACTGATTGGACTTGATTAAGAAAGCCACACACCTGTCTATATAAGACCTTACAGCTCACAGTGCATGTCAGGAAAGGGTCACTAGGTGTCAGACTAGGACCATGATGGGGAAAATAAACGACCTGCAGCACTGCACGTTTCATAAAGTTCCTTCATGTTACAACTTGCTTAAATGTTCTTGTGTAAAATATTTTCTGAAACAATCATCCCACCAGGACAAGTTAGATAACCTAGAGATTCTCCTTTTGTCTGCAGACCTGAAACATCAGCACGATGAAGATGTCACGTGTTTACAGGCTACAGTATATGTTGCAATCAATGTGCCACGTTTAATAACCTCTCTATTTTGTTTTTAAGCTTTCCACACTATGATACTGGCTGAATTAACATGTTTCTCACTCTTAACGAGTTTTATTGTGCATCCTTCTCATGGGTGATGTGAACCTTATAAAGTCTTTGGCAATTATCTGTTTGTTCTTGTTCCCTTTCAGATTGAGTGGTCCCTCCTGCAGCATGTGGTGTGTCAGCTGTCCCTCTTTCACACTTTCATTACTATCATTAATGTCTTTCTTCACTCACAGTAACAGCTCACTGGAGCTGCTAGATTGTGTTGCATATTGAACTTTAATTTGTGCACCGTGTTAAATGTAGAAACTTTAGTTTGCTGTTACACCACAGCTGATGTGTTGCCTGTGTGAAGGATTCGATTTTGGTGGGTCTGAATGATGACAGGAGATGAATATGAAGAATATAAAACAAGTCCGACAGCAGATCCAGCTGTTGTGTCTCAGGTTAAATTGAGCGTTCAGTATCACATGTCAGCTGACTGAGTGTAAACATCCAGATGACAGAGCTGAACACAGTTTAGTCTAAGCTTGTACTCACTTACATCCGCGGGGGTATCCGCTGACTTTAACATGATGCCTGCTGGACTTCAAACAAGGCCTGCTGGATAGAAATTGTGTCCGGCTGGCGCTGCAAAACTACCATGTCACATGACCTTAAAACCTCGCGGGAGACGAACCAAGAAGACGACCACCGACCGTCGTTTAACAGTGTGTGTAGCCTATTTTACTCACAGGAGGAGAAAAATAGAAACGTGAAGTTCCCGAAACATCTGCTGGACGACAGAAGAGCTCGAGCTTCACTGCTGAGAGCAAAAACCCTGAGAGTTACAACAGGAAACATCCAGAACTGCACCAGCAACATTTCGTTCAGTTTTTTCCTCAGAAAGCAGCAGTTTCTGCCTGAAGGGAAGATGTGTGGGTGAGTAACTCAGCTTATTGTATTATCAGTGTCATCAATGTAATGACAGAATAAAATCTACAGGCTACACTGTGGACATTAAGGCAGCTGTCAGGTTGGCAAGAGTTGCACTGAAACAGTGTGGGCTACATTACTGCAGTGATCACTGTTTACATCAAACTAAGATATGAAGCTGTAACTTATCAATAATCAATCACCTGTCATGATTAGTCTCACTGATGGAGCAGTCCTTGGTTATCATGTTGGAGATGAGGATGATTGTGGTGCATTAATGTGAAATGAGAAAGAATTTTTAATGTAAAATAGACGTCTAAAGCTTTACTGTCAGTTTGAAAATGAGACACATTTTCAACTGTAAATCACCAAAATAACAAATGATGGATCAGACTGGGTTTATCATTTCAGGTTTCATGAATAAACTGTCTGATCAGTTTGATCCGTATTTTCATTTTTTAGTTATTATCACCAACATTTTGTCGTCTGATTCAACATATTTAATTTATGTAATATAGGAGGATTCCAGCACTTTAACATTAATTTAAAACAAGTCTGACAAATAATAAAAAGTAATACTGTTAACTTACTGATCTTTCCTCCACTCCTGTTTTGGGGATAAATATCAATCATTCATATTTCTAGTGCCACTTGATTAAAATGGAGGTGAATCATAATATCTCCATTGATGATGATTTTGGGTTTTTTTTTCATCCCATGCACGCGCTTCCATCAGGGGTGGGAGAGAAAAAGATGCTCAGATGCATCGAGATGCGGAAGATTCTGAATAAAGTAACCTGTGATTGTGCAGCGTAGGTCACAGTGTGACCATTAATAAAGTCTGCTGTTTGCCCAGCTGCTGGAAAAGTGAAGGTTAGCGCTTGGTAACATCTACCTGTAACTTACAACTTGCATTTTTTTTGCAATGTGTAAGACTCTAACGGACTGTGCTTAATGCAGATGTGAGATTTATATCAGAGTTTTGCAAGTGTAAATGAGACGTTGAGTTAAACAGAACATCACTTTGTATGCTAATGAGGATCAGAATCAGTAGGCCTAGTTCGCACCCTGTATGAAGGCGAGTGGAGGAAAATATTCTGGCAGTAAATGTACGGTGTCTGTTACCGTGTGTTCTCAAGACCAGGAAAAGTCTGTTGTTTCCCACCAGCTGAAACAGAGCAGGGAAGCAGCAGCTACATAGCTGCTATGTAACTTAACATTGGCTCAATTTATAGAAAGTAACTGGAAGCTGTGTTTTATTACTGCCTACTTGTCCAATGTTGAGAACATCAGGTACAAACTTAGCCTAAACTGACGTAGCCTGCAGCTCTGTCCTGTAGAGACTGATTCAATTATTTTTCAGTCTGAAAAGGTGGTTTTTGAAAACAGAGGACGTAGGTGACTGGAGGAGCTGAGGTTAGTAAGGCTAATTAGTGATGCAAACTAGTCCTTTTAAGCTAATGAGGTGTTTCTTTTTGGATTTTAATGTGAAAATAAAATGCACCTCAGAAGGGAGGAGGTTTCTCATGTTGCCTATTTTTTTATTTTAATGTCTACAGATAAATGTCAAAGGCTGTAAAATGAAGACACAAAAGGCAAACATGAACCGTCGTATCTATAATGATTCTGAGGTCACATTAACTGGGTTTTAGGGGGTGATGCCCAAAACATGCTGTGCCATCACTGTAAAAGCACTGTGGAGCAACAGAACCAACCAATTCTCCAGATCTAACGGTTGTAGTTCCTCCAGTAGACTGATCTTTGGGTGTTGCTTGTTTATTATCTGCTCCAGCTTTTCCAACTATTTGTTCAGAGATATGGTGAAAATAATGGCCCAATATGATGTAAAATTACATGTTTTTCGTTGGAAAACATAAAATTATGGACGCAAGAGCAATGTTGAGACATGTTGTGTTGCTGAGAAAATCCTAGCGGAAAAAACTGACTGCAAAATGCAGAACACCTGAATTTCCTTTCTTTCTTTAAATGTCCTCCAGTGAACCCTGCTGTGAGATCTGCCCACTCCAGCTGTTAAACATACAGTCTATGGTTGAAACTACAGCAGGTCACTTCCTGCATGCTTCACACACAGTATCCATAAACCGAGCAGAGTTATAGCAGCAGACAGACAGACATCACCTCCTCTCTCATGGATAACTTTGTGCTCCTGTTGGTCCTTCCGTCTCCGGCAGCCTCTGGTAAAGACGAACTTTTATTGTGAAAGACTATTGACCAGTGTTATAAAACCATGTCCTCTTATTCTAGAAAGTCTTCATGTGTTTGTAACATGGCTGGGTCGGTATGTCGAATATATTATACAGGTGCTGATCATATAATTAGAATATCATCAAAAAGTTGATTTATTTCAGTAATTCCATTCAAAAAGTGAAACTTGGATATTATTCATTCATTACACAGAGACTGATATATTTCAAATGTTTATTTCATTTAATTGTGATGATTAAAACTGACAACTAATGAAAATCCCAAATTCAGTATCTCCAAAAATTAGAATATTACTTAAGACCAATACAAAAAAAGGATTTTTAGAAATGTTGGCCAACTGAAAAGTATAAACATGAAAAGTATGAGCATGTACAGCACTCAGTACTTGGTTGAGGCTCCTTTTGCCTGAATTACTGCAGCAATGCGGCGTGGCATGGAGTCCATCAGTCTGTGGCACTGCTCAGGTGTTATGAGAGCCCAGGTTGCTCTGATAGTGGCCTTCAGCTCTTCTGCATTGTTGGGTCTGGCGTATCACATCTTCCTCTTCACAATACCCCATAGATTTTCTATAGGGTTATGGTCAGGCGAGTTTTCTGGCCAATTAAGAACAGGGATACCATGGTCCTTAAACCAGGTACTGGTAGCTTTGGCACTGTGTGCAGGTGCCAAGTCCTGTTGGAAAATGAAATCTGCATCTCCATAAAGTTGGTCGGCAGCAGGAAGCATGAAGTGCTCTAAAACTTCCTGGTAGACGCTGCGTTGACCTTGGACCTCAGAAAACACAGTGGACCAACACCAGCAGATGA